TCACAGAATCACAGAATAGTAGGGGTTGGAAGGGACCTCTGTGGGTCACCTAGTCCAAATCCCCTGCCGAAGCAGGGTCACCTACAGTAGGCTGCACAGGATCTTGTCCAGGCGGGTCTTGAATATCTCCAGAGAAGGAGACTCCACAACCTCCCTGGGCAGCCTGTTCCAGTGCTCCGTCACCCTCAGAGGGAAGAAGTTCTTCCTCATGTTCAGCTGGAGCTTCCTGTGCCTCAGTTTGTGCCCATTGCCCCTTGTCCTGTCACTGGGCACCACTGAAAAGAGCTTGGCCCCATCCTCCTGACACCCACCCTGCAGATATTTGTAAGCATCCTCCTGCTTGCAGGCTCTGTCCCTGCCTTGGAGTCCTGCTTTTGGGGTCACCGCTATTATCCAGCAACGGCTTTTCCGACGGACCTCTGCTTTTGATTTACCCCAAAAAGCATCTGCCTTCCAGGCTGCCCCCGTGACCATCCCTTCCTCAGAATACATCCCTTTAACCCCTTTTCCACCCGGATCCGGGGGTCTCTGCCCTCTCCTGTGGCTGCTGGTGATGCTCTGCCCCGTCCCTGCAGATCAGCTACCAGAGCATCGAGTCCTCCGACCCGGCCGTCAATGTGCCCGGCCCGCGGCGCACCGTCTCCAAACTCCGCAACGAGACCTGCCACCTCTTCTCCAACCTCCACCCCGGCACCACCTACCTCTTCTCAGTCCGGGCCCGCACCGGCAAGGGCTTTGGCCAGACGGCGCTCACCGAGATCACCACCAACATCTCCGGTAGGTTCCCCTGGGCTCCACGCCTGCTGCTGGGGCTTCTCCTCCACACAGGTCCATGATGGCAGCGCTGGAGGTTCTGATGCGTTCCCGTGGATTTCGGTGACTGGCTGCTGCTGTTGAATGGTGCTCTTGGTGGTGGCAGCCGTGCCATGAGCCCCCCAAGCAGCCCCCCAGACCCATCAGCTGGGCTGATGTGGGTCTCTGGCTGGGGGGCCCGGCCAGCCCGGCGCACTGGTGCTGTCTGAGCTATTAGCATACAATCGAGGCATTAATTTGGCTTTGTTAATTAGCCTCACGGTACTTAGGGCTGTTTGCTCGTGTCCGTGGCGTCACTGTTAACTGCAGCAAATGGGCTGAGATGAGCCCTAACGGGGGCACCGAAATGGCAGGTCCCAGCGGCTGCCGGTGGTGGCTGGGGGACCATGCTGGGCATGAGGGGGTCCCCACCTTGGTCTGGGGCTGCTGGTGGGCTGGCTTGGGTGTGCTTCTGCCTGGGGTGGGATGCTCGTGCTGTGCGGGCGGGTTGAG